AGACTCCTATTGCTGTACATGTGAAAGCATGGTTTCTGAAATGCCTACAATGACTAAATCAGTTTAATAAGTTAAAAATTATAAATAACAAGTCAAATCAACGTTTTAGGTGATAATCAAACAAACATTGTCTAGAGTAGTAAACCATACATTAATTAGTTACAAAACTTTGTAGAAGATTTTACAACATAAATTGTTATGTTATATGCATGTTTACAACAAATATATAACACATGTAGGAGAAAAATACACTTTTAATGACAAATATTAAAGCTTCAAACATTAATAGTGCTCAGAATAAAGAAATCACTAGATTATTACAGCTTTTAGCACTACATGACTTATTCTATTATTTAATACTTTTAATAACTGTATGATAGTTTTGAGTATATTAGGGCTTTTTTTAATCATAAATATATTAAACTTCAGTTGATTTTTTCAAGGTCATTAATTACACATACTTTATGTTAATTACCTTACTATAATAGATGTAATATCAGTTTCTGCACATGTAACCAAAGCTCCTGCACCATCTATTGAATGGCACCACAAACAAAAATTCATGTGGTATGTGCAACAATCATTTCTTTATAAAAGAACACAATTTTAAATAATAGTATTCTCCTTACAACAAGAACATGACTTTCACTAAGACTGTACATGAGGGTTTGATTATATCTTTATTGATGTAATTATAAATGTAGTACTGAGAAACTGGAGTTCATAAAAAAAACTATTATTTTTTCAATAAACAGTTCCACTTTTAATATATGAAAAATTACAGTTTAATACTATGATTAGTAATTACTAGCACAAACAGCCACCTGTACGGTGATGTTTCTTCTGGTTATTATAATTAATACAAGTTAATACTATATTAGTTAACTTACCCTCTCTGTCATTTTCAACATAAACCAGTAAAACTGAAAACCATAAACATAAAATATTTATCACTATAGAAAACTAAAGTTTTAAAATCACTGCTTAGAAGTATGTTGTATATAATACTTTATACATACACATGAAATGAAACAACCAACTGTACAGTAACTGCAATTGTAAACATATGAGTATGAAAAATATTGGATCTCTTTTTTTGTTTCTTTACAAGTTCAAAATTTATTGAATAAAAGTTTAAGAATGACAATTAACAAACTATAAGTGTATTCATGAAATAATTCATAATTATTAAAAATACAAGATTAAAAACTCAAGTATAATGTTGATTTACTTATTGCACAATAAAATTTGATTTATTAAAAGCAGACAGATTAAAAGTTAAGCTATAGATTCTCCATTATCCCACCCCCTCCCCCTGTTATGTGAATTGTTTATCATAAAATTTGAAAAGGGCACATTAAATACTTCTGTTGTTAAACTGTTCGTGTGGTTATGGTATGTGGATGTCATGTTTTTGGTGTAGCATAATGGTAATAATACATTAATGAAGTTTGAATAACATCTTAATTCAATTATTTTACATTGGAAGTTGAAAAAAACTGGTCAATTGAATTTCCTGTATATGAAAATCAAATGGGATAATGGATGTGTGTCTCATAATTTTGGTTTATAGAAACTGTTTTTGGTTGTCTTTCTACCATAAAACAGATTGTGTCATCTATGGGCATAAAAATTATCTGCATTTTCCATATTTGTATTTAGAGCACGAAAAAATCTGTATTTATGATTATGATTTAAGATTGGAGTTAATTTCCTTAAAACATATATCAAAGGGGAGAGGCTATGATCCTGAGGTTATTGATAGGTTGTATAATAAGAATCGTAATAAATTAAAAATGTTATATATGAGGTTACAAAACAATAGTACAGCTGAAGGGTGGGTTTTCCTGCCATATGTTCAAGGTATTTCAACATGAAAAGGTAACTTAATTAAAGATATAGAAATTGTAGTAAAATTTCTTTTTCCATTAAAGGACTTTGATAAAGGAATGGTTACCAGATTATTCAAATCTGCTGATAACATTAAAGTTCTGGGTGTTACTGGGTGTGAGGAGGATGCTACTGTTTTATAAAAATATTTGGTGAGTTGGGCAGATAAATGGCAGATGACTTTTAGTTATAATAAATGCAAGTTAATGTATGTGGGATATCAAAATTTGAATTATAAGTATTATTTAGATGGAAATAACCTTAACAGTGTTATGGAAAAGTCCAGTTCATCAATCTCTTAAGCCATCCAAACAATGTGCTTTTGCTACTGGCAGAGTAAATAGGATTTAAGGTTGTATCTACAGAAACACTGAATACAAGTTTAAAAAGATTATATTGTCATTTCATAGGCCATTGGTTAGGCCTCATTTGGAATAATGTGTTCACTCCTGGGTTTCTTACCTTAGAAAAAAAGGACATTGAATTTTTGGAAAGGGTTAAGATTAGGGATACTATGATGATACCTGGGAGGGAAAGGTTGTTATATGAGGGTAAGTTAAGATTTCTGAACTTGTTATCTCTTGAAAAAAGAAGAGCTTGAGGGGGTCTAATTGAGGAGTTTAAGATTGTTAAGGAAATTGATAGTGTTGATGCATTATCTTTTTCGTACTTAATGGTAAGATTAGCAAGACTATGGGACACAAATATATATTTTGGTAGGGTAGGAATCATCTTCAGCTTAGACAGACAGCTTTATTTTTCTAACAGAGTGGTTGGCTTCTGGAATGGGCTACCTTCAGATGTGACAGATGCAGTTAACTTAAAGTAGGTTAAGGGAAACTTGATAAATATTTGAATGATAAGTGTTTTCCTTTAAAGTCATATTAAATAATTGTTTTTCATGTGTAACAGAGAAAACAGGGCAAATTTCGAAAAGCATTACTTATAAAATTCCTTGTTTCTGTGGTTAAGTTGCTTCTAAATAAATATGTAAAAACCTGAAATTTTGAATTAAAAATATAAAAACGATGTATATAAATGTAAACTAACTTAAAAAAACTGTAGTGGTAGGAGTGGCATGCACATCTCATGTTATGGACTGGAAAAATATTAAATTGAAGAATTAGACTGAGCTTAAGTAATAATGGCTGGAGACGGCTTGAATGGGTAATGAAGAAAAACTTTAATACAACAGCAAATATACAACGTTTCGACAAGGTTTTGTCATCATCAGGTACAAAACCTTGT